GTTACGAATTACTATAATGAAATTCGCGGGCGAGAAAAAGTAACACCGGGGAAAAAAAAAAAATCAAAGCGATACCCGCTCTTTATGTTTCGTACGTGAGTCCGCTCTGTGCGCGTGTGCGTTTCGGTGGAGATGAATTAAAAATTTGTTTACCTTTGTAAAGAAAAAAGAGACGCGCTGCGAAAAAAAAGATATAATTTAACGAGAAAGGGATTCTTTAAACATAATGTTCCGTTTGTGTTTTCTCGATGAAATTACACGGCTATTACCGTGACACAACCGACTTGTAAACACACCGACACGGGGCACGGATTCTGCGTCGTGCTCGTACGTAGAGTAGAAAACTCTCTCACGAGTCCGCGGCAAGGAGGCTGCGGTCGCCTTTTTTTTCCACCTGCGTGCCGTAAAACGTGGAGGGGGAACTTAATTCATAACTCGACTCACGACTTCGAGTTTCCCCGCGGGTTTATTGTCATGCTCGATCTCGCGACCAGGGCGTGACGCAAGCGAGCGACGTCGTCATTAATACGTAGGTATACGTTCACATACGCACGTATTGCGCTCGCGTGCTGAATAAGCGGGTCCTAGATTATGCGTCTACGCACGTTATTGTCATCGCTAACGATGTCGAAATGTAATTGATGGTCGCGATATATCGTGCCAGTGGAATTACTTGGACGAGCGACTTATTTAACCACGATACGTTTTACGCCAATTTACTGTCAGCTATATATATATATATATATATATATATATATATATATATATATATATATATATATATATATATATATATCACGGAAGTTAATTGAAGCATTGCAACGAGCACTAACTTTCCACAGTTTGTCCAGGGAAAACTTGGATTTCTTGTTTGTTGAAAAAATATTGAGAACTTTCTTGAAAATACACGATTATTTGTCGAAATTTAATCATTTTCCGTTGATCGTGTTCGGCAGATGAATAATTTATAAGCGAAATGTGAGTCGCATTCGCCGAATACATTATTCTTACGCGGTGTGCACCTATTCATTATCGTCAGCGGGTATTTCACGCAGCGGAAGACATTACGTTTTCGCTATGCGGAGCTCGCATTATGCAGAGCAGCACGATTATTATACAGACATACATAATAAACAGTTGAGTAATTTTATATACTAATTTGGATTAAATGACGACAAAACAGAGAGATTCATAGACATTCCAAAACTCACGCGACCAACAAACTATACGAGTCGCATAAACATAACTTTTCAGGAAAAAAATCTAGAGATTTTGATACGCTTTCAGTAAAATACTTACAATGCTTTGCAGATTTTTTTTTGTATTTGTAGATATAATATCAAACTTTATGTTTCGGAAAATAAAGTTGTGTAATTACGAAATATAATTTTAATGTGATTTAATAATGTTGAATTGGTGAATGTGTCATCACATTTTGACTTAACTTTGTACAGTCAACGTCTCTATTTTTATTGAAAACATTTGTTGTTGGGTAAAAATTAGACTACAGTCTTGTGATGATAATAGCTCAATTTTCGAAACAATGTGACTCAACATAGTACATCGCTGAGGTGCTCATATAAACAGATGCTGAAATATACAATGAACGAAAAGGAAAAATGATCATTCGGCAAATTATTTTTGATCCAAGTTTTGCTAAAGTTTCCAGCTAGTGCTGGATACAAACGTGTCATTATCACAAAGGAAATTGTACGAATCGGATAATCGCCAAGTCCGCTTTCTCGGAGTGTACGATCGGCTTCTTCCGCATCGGCAAAATATTTCCGTGAGAAGTTAATCCTGCCGGTGTTCGCGCGAAAACGCAACCCGTTATCAACGAGACAAACAAAGCGATGCGAACCAGATAAATGAGGACATACCTTGATATATTCTAAAGCCGGTTTCGCCGGTAAACGTTCATAGCCGAGTCAAAGCTGTACACTATATTTGTACACCCGAAAAATTCAGTCGTATTACGTCGCGCACGCTTTTAACGCTATGGTTTACGCTATGGTTTACGCTATATAACGTGGTGATTTAAAGCGCGCAGATTTACTCGACCGGAAAGGCTCAAAAATTATATTTTATAGCGAGCCACGTGCGAGCTAACGAGCGCGAGCTAGTAGCGCGAAGTGAGAATGCAAATGGTGCGCAGTTGCGCGACGACAACGCGGCTGCGATTCCGAGAGATTTATAGATGTGGCTGGAAGTCGACGACGGTCGAAAACCTTTTTTGCGCACGTGCTGCGAGCTTTAATTAATTATTATCCTCTCGATAATCCTGCAACGCACGCAGAATTTGCTTAATCATCCTTAAAGGGAACGAGGCTGGGAGATCCTTGAATGGCACTTCTTTATCTAGATCGTCTGCGTAAATAGTTCGAGGCGGAACGCCTTTCGAATTGATTATGAGGCGAATCTCCCGCCCTTTCTTTATCGCAAAAGTAGCTGCATCCATTGCCTCGTCTAACGAAGCAAACTAGGCAGAGTCGTGTCTGAGTGTTACACTTTCCGTAAACAACAAAATAAATATGAGACAAACAACTTTATTTTCCATTCTTTTTATTTGGACTCCTTGGAAACTTTGAATAATATCTCGTCCAAGGTCTAAATATTTCGATAGAAAATTTGACAATTGGCAATCGATATCGCTATCAGTTTCTCCATCTCGTCTGATTCTTGTCAAAAACGCACGAAAACGAGCACAACGCGCTCGCGAAACAGAGGGAGAAGAAAATTCTTCAGATTCACTTTTGAAGAGGGATGTTCGAGCGGTAATTGAGACTATGTCCGGCGGGGGTTTTCAGAAAAAGCCCGCCGTGTTATTTTCCCATCCATCCCCTATCCGTCGATATGTTTCGGTCTTATTCGCGCGACTCTTCCCTTTTTCCTTTTGCCGTCCTTTTGCGTCGTTCGTACGATCGATGTCGTGCTCGACGGATGACAAAAATAAAGAGAGCGAGACAGAGGGGAAAAATAGGAAGAAGCTGCGCGTAAAACCACGCATTACCTTTCCCGCCAACCCGCCGATTTTTTTGCGATACGCGCCTTCTGCAGCTGTTGTTTTTCAGCGCGCGGCATGTTTCATTGTTCATTGTAGTGGAATATCGAGAAAAGGATGAGTTAGTTGGATAGACAAATAAATAGATCTGAGCGAAGGAGGCAGAAAGAGATCGCGATACATAGACATTTCCGTCGCGAATAACGGAAATAAAAGCGACAAAGAGATTGAAGAGTGACAGTGCTCTCGTAGGCAACTTCTGACTCGCTATTGATTGAATCCACTATTTTTATCGTCGATTATTATTTATCATCGATTCTCTCTTCTTTTCCCACAAATATAATCTTCTAAAAATGATAAATCCATAATTGAAGTCAATTTTTAATTATTTTAAATCTTTTACAGATAATTTTATTCCTTTAACAATAATTGAAACGATATGAATTCTATCTGAAAAAAATGGAAGATTTCCATTGTTGCCTTTTTTCCGCGATATTAATTGGTTATCTCGATGCGCGCTATGCGTTACTTTCGTACTATCGAGCGGTTGTCATTGCGAAAGTTGCATAGCTTGACAGTTCATACCTTGAGAAGATTAGTAGTTAAATTACATTTAAAAGAGAAAGCAAACGACGTAGATCCTTTTGCTTAAATATTAATTTTTACATATAATTTATATGTATTTCTGATATCTTCTCGGCTTGCGGTTAGCGCAGATATTGTTTTATAGAAAATATTCAAAGTGTCTTCTTTGAATCTTGATACATTTTCGAATTCTTTATTTAAATCTTTTCTGAAGTATGTCAAAGACTCTATTGGTTTAATAGAAATGCTCGCTTGAAGGGCGGCTCAATTATTTATTTTCGAATTATTCTCTTCTATTACATTTATGTAATAACTTAATCATAAATTTAATTAATTTTTACATATTTTTACACGTGAATAACAGGACTTGTGTTGAATAATGTTGTGTATAGTGTTATAAATTGCGATAATAATAGTGATTTAATAACATAGTAATATTATTTTATGCTATTATTATCGATATTATATTATTATTTTTATTAAAGATATAAAAGAGTAAATAGCGCGCATAGTGCGTCTAGTTTATTAAAACAGAAAAGCTAATTTTCATAGAAAAAAAAGTTATAAACTTATTATTATTTATAATAGTAGTTTGAATGTTTTTCTCTAAATAATCTAGGTTCATTTATTTTTATCTTAAATGTTAATCTTTAACGGGATATTCACTTTCAAATGTATTGAAAAGTTGAATTATTTTATTCGCTTTACTTTTTTGGTTAAGAGAATCGCACGATAAATAGACCAAAAAATATATAACGGAAGCAAACAAGAAAACCATCCTCGGTTTACCGCGATCTATAATTCGTTGCCCCACCCAAACCACCTGGCACGAAGAGTCGACGCGATATAGTTTAACCCGATAAATCAGCCGTGGAGAAACTCCCTTTAACGCGGTGCAGCGTTAATTATACTGCGTAAATAGTCAAAGTATGGTCCGGAAGGAAGGCGGTTAAACGAGCGGATGTTGCTATGGTTTGCTCGAACGTAGGCAAATTAGGTTGGCTGGATGAAAACGCATGCGTGAATCGTCGTCTATGAATCGATCAACAGTTTACGCGCATTTAATTAGAGCCAGAGGGGCCCGATGGCCTTCGCGAGCGTCTTCGATATCGCGTGCGCTCCATTCACTCGAGCAGCGCTGTAATAATTCACGCTCAAAGGAATACAAGCACGCAGACTACGATGCGGAATTCAAACGATTCACACGGACGTGAGCCTTGCATCGGCGATGAATTAAAAGGAAAATTAAATGGCCGAAGAGAAGAAAATAAATAACGCTGTAAAGTGAAAAGAGTCAAATGACATGAACAATTCCGAACAGTCCTGAAGTTCCGACGCTCGGTTGGTCTTTCGTCGCCTTTCATACCACAATGTTACTTGGGAGTTCGGGAGCGGCCACAAGCGGAAGACTCACCGACGATTGTCAAGAGAAACGCTGCACTCGCGATGACAAACGCCACGCAGAGGAGCCTCATATTATTCCTCTTCTCCTCCGCTCGTCCGCTTCTACCCTCTTCCTCGGCGGGTCAGCGCGCCACCCACGACCTGCGCCTCCGTGCTAGCACCGGGGAGAAACCTACGATCGCGGTGGCATCGTCGAAGCGCGAGTACCCCAAGTCAACTCGCTTCGAGGCGAAACGGGAAAAAGGCACGATAACGCGTCTACACTCGCGCCGGCGAACGAAACGTGCGTCTTTTGTCGACTGTGCGACCGGTCGCTCGGGATGTGAAAGACTGAAGAAAGGCTCGTTCACTCGTGGCCGAGTAGTATCAACCTCGGCAGCCCACCTCGTGTACGCTCCCTGCCGTCCCCAATCTCCGGCGAGAGAGATGCCAGTCTCTTTCCCTCTGCGGTGTGGAATCCTCCTCGAGGCGACTCGCGAGGCGACCTTATGCTTCAGTCGATTCGCAATAACGATGGACGGTGTGCGATGTCCTCGCATTCGCTGAATGCTAAACCTTTTTTGACACGTCGAAACGAGATCGTCCTCGTCCGATAAACGGACGAGCGAATTTCGTTCAGCGAAACAACGATGCGAGTCGCGAATGACAAATCTTATGCAGATTAGTTTTCTTTTTTTCGTAATCCTTTTGTCAAGGAATAGTTGTCTTATTTTATTTTTTGTACTATAAAATATTTACGACAAAGATATGTATTATATTACTTTTCCATTTAATTAACAATCGTCCTAGAACGATAATTATCTTACAGAAAATTGCATATAGGGTATAAATTTTAATTATTCAAAATTTGCAGGTTATTATTTTTGAGAGCATAATTATATCGAAAAGTTTTAAAGGAAAACTCGGCTCCAATTTTACGCAATGTGTAACTTTAAAAGTTGTCGAATATTTCTTCACAAAATTACATTATCTGAACAATTTTGCTGCTGTGCAAAGCTTAAACTTAACAGTCTCCGTGTGAATAGCCGGTCCTGACGGTGCAGATCGCTGCGAGCGAATCAATTGTGTCGCGCATTTATGGGACAAAGATTCGCGCTTTCTCTACCGATTTCGAGCGTGTCTCTTTGTCTAGTCGTTCAGTTCAATTGCCATCGGACCGAGTTACACTCTCGTCACTCAATAACACTCAATTTTCACATACATAGTGATCGAAAAAACAGATTCGACGGTGCTTCTTTTGGTAGTGCATACAACTTGAAAGTGTATAAATCGGTTTTTTGACGTCGAGATAATTCGCTTAATATTATATTGATGTAACAATCGACTGTAAATTCATCGCGCTATGCAAAATACATATTTCAAATCTACGAAGTGAGTAGATTGGCGAAATAAATAAAATAAATCAATTTCAAATTTATTTGAAATTTTTTTTTGGCGAGAGCGAAAAAACTTGCATACTATTTTTTATTCAAGCTATAAACAAGATCTGTTTTGTTAACTAAAAGAATTAGTTAACAAAACGTATATAATACGGCATGAAAAATACAATTTCTATTTATTAAAATACAATTCACTTGACTGGTTTTGCAGCTGGACAAAGGATTTAGCTGATTTTGGAACTAAAGTGTCCGCTATTTTTATTTTCTGTACAGAAACAGTGCAAAAACAGTTAAAGTTTTAGTATAGATTATTAAAAATTAAACAGTATTTTTCTAATTTTGAAGCATTTTTATTACTCTAATAATATAAAAAAGATCACATTCTATATTACAAAATACCACATTTAGTTATTTATTGGAAAAATACAATATTTTCCTCTTTTATCTTCATGTCAAATTCAAATAAAAATAAAGTACTAAACATAGAGGAAAAATTGATAAATCAAATTTCATAAAAAAATAATAATAAATAAAATTTAAAAAATTAGTAAACCTAGTCATAATTTTTATGGCAAAGAATTTTGACATGACTTTCTTTTAGCTTTCTGTAGCTTGTTGGTATTCATCACCCTACATCTAATCACATCTTGAAGAAGAGAATGTCTTTTCATCTTTTAGTCTAATTTTTTAAAATAAATTATTGATAAAAATAGTTCCTTGTACAGAAAGAAATGTACATATCTACTTTTGCAACTTGAAGTTTGAGGTTGCCATTTTGCCATAATGATTTAATTGCTTTTGCAATTGGAAATATGACTGATGAACATAATTGCATTTGCAACAGTACGGAGTAGAGATTTAACTTCTTTTGCAACTTGACCCATTTTTTTCCCTCGATTTTATAGAGTTTGTAATTGTTTTTACATTTTTAAAACGTTCAATTCGTAACCAAGAAGCTAAAGGTACCGATATCTAATTTTTTTTATATTTTTGGATATGGCTGCTTTTGCATACGAGATACTCAAGTCATTACACTTTCTATAAAGGAAATTCGATTTAAAATTAGCAGAATTTACGAATGGAAGGTGGTTTGCTCGTGTAAACATTTTGTATTGAAATATATATATACGAAAATGCAGTTATTCGAGGAATCAATTATTTTATCATTGAAAAATTGTGCAAATGTCAGGCAAAAATAAGCGATTAGGTGGCGAAGAGATCGCGAATTTTCGCAATGGCGAGTGGAGATTTTTCAGAGACAAATTACAAAGCGACGCAATAATGCGTAATATTGTACATTTTGTTGATTTCGTGAACGCGAAATTTCCGATTTATTTTGCATCCACGTGAGAGCGGAGCAGCAACCTAAAAGTTGCTGAGGCAACACGACTTGCACGAATTTGAATGAAACTTGCGAGGCAAATGGAATCGGCGACGAAGCTCTTTCGCGATTCTGCAATCTAGCCACGTAATAATATTTTTCTATGTCGAACCATTTGCGCAAATGGACGTACGTATGTATTGGCGAGTATAACGTTCACGTGTCCGATCTTTCTTTCTCACATGCTTTTTAAAACGGAAAAATACATTGTCTTATTTGTAGCAAAACAAAACTTGGATTTTTTTTAATAGCTAGCAGATTTACACTTTTTTTTATTGGCTTTCTTGCAAAATTTACTAATTAAATCTCGGTCTTATAATAATGTATTGTCATTCAATTGTGTGCAATGTTGTATGTTTCAGAAAGTAAAATCAGCCTTGACGTCTAATGTACACGAACTGGAAAATAGCGATGCCGTGGAGGCGAAAATCAGCCAACATTTCGCATATCTACACGGCGTTCTTCAAAGCATGGAAATGAGATTGATGAGCCAGCTGCATCAGCGGACTGAAAATATCAAGAATAATTTAAAAGACATTCAAACACAACTTCAATCGCAGGAAGAATCGTTGGGAGTGATGTTGAAGGTATTCACGTTATAAATAGCGATTATGCTTGAAAATTTCAGTCAAGCAATTCTGAAACGGACCTCACAAGCTGAACACATGTGCAAACGGTTTGCCTTTATTTTTGCTTGCTTTGTTGTTTTGACTTATTTTGTTTTTCGTTGTTTTTCCGTAACCGTCGCTATTTACGAATTCGCATTATCAAAGGCATTTTAGAAATGTCTCGGCACAAACTATCTTTGCAGAATGATATTCTTAATCTCTCATGCTCAGTACGAGTCAAAATGCTGGGAGATTTTCTGTCAGGGGATTTATTCTCTTACGTTAGTCAAAGAGAAGAAGGAAAGAAAGAGAGAAAAAGCTGTGTTTTAGGACGTCGTGCACTCGCTCTCTATCTCATTTCCGTCTGCTACATTCCTTGTCACCATGAAGCGCACCCAAGGGTCACCACGAGAAAGTAGGAATTCAGATTTGCTGACAGAGCTTGCTTCGCAGGAGAATATTTCTCGAGATTTAGTGAACTCTGTCTCTATACTGTCATTAAGCATTGGTATACATTTCCTTGGGACCCATTCTCCAGTCTCGTTTGCCCTCAAAAGCACAGTCATTAATAAATTTGCCTACTTGCCTTATCGAAAATTAACACATTTACGCTTACAATAATTCTACTTTATCTGTTTGCTTCGGTGATTAATAATTAATTCTTCTCGGAATAATAAAGTATAGGAAAATAAGTGACTATTGCCAGAAGTGATTAGTAATAATTTAATAAACAGATTAGAAGAGAGAAAGAGAAAGAGAGAGTGAGCTGAAACGATACAATATTTAAATATATTACGGCAACTTTTCTCATTTCACATTGATCGCATATTTTTATTATAACTTATTCAAATTTGATGATATTGTCTTGTTTAGATGGCCTCTTACGCAAAACAGATCTACGATAAGGTGGACGTACAAAATACAATACAGATTTTGAAAGAAAGTACGGATCTCCCTTGTCACTTGCTGCACAAGGATACAGGCGATAACGATAAAGCAATGTAAGTAATCAACAGTCAACGCTGTTTACGCAAATGATCAAGAAAATGTTTACATGGCGAGTATCGATATAAATACATATCGCACACCCGCAAGAAAAGTGACACAAGTCGAAATTTTTCGTATATCGCACTTTGTTATTTTCATCTTTTCTGAATGCCTCTCAATCAGTATTGAAATTCATGACTAATATCTAAACTGCAGCCCATTCTTTAATATTTTTTCTGAAACGTTACTCTTATATAAACGTTCAAAACACAATCATTAAATGATTTTATTTGCTAGTGCAATAAAGTGTTTTTGTTAATAGGTTCACCGTCGATAATTCGATAGTTACGTACATAAAAAATCACTGTACAATTCAAGTACCACCCGCAAAATCCTACAGTCTCGTGGCAACGGATGAGTTACCGAAGAATTACATAATATCGCCTTTAAAGAAAAAGCCGGAAGTCTCAAGTAAGAACATTAATCTTATTATATAATTGCGGTTTGAATAATTTTTCTTGAAAAATCTTCAGTTTTCATATTTAATTAATAAAAGCCAATATTTGTGATACATTTTTATTATTTTGACTATCTTTATTGATTAATAAAAAATTAAATCGACAATTAATTTTAATCATAAAATGTTCCTGACAGAGATCTTAAGCGAATTATTGATTCCACCAGTAACGAAAATAAGTAATGCATCGACAGCATCGATCAAATCAGAAAATACAGAAAATAAAGAAAATAAAGAAAATAAAGAACAAGAAGGTAAGTTAATCTTTCTAATTCTTAATTTTCACAAGTAAATGGCCGAAAGCCAATGTTGGGTGGCCGTGCGTATACAGGGTGTTTCATAATGTCCGCGCCAACGCTCGTATGCGAATAGAGTGCGGTAAACTGAATAGAAAAGTTCTTTACCGTTTTGCAATTTTCGCAATAGTAATTGAGATATTAATTAAAAGGGATTGACGAATAATCGCGCGTTGATCGCGGCTAGATCGTAGGCTGTACGCTCTAGGCGTGACAGCAATGAGAATCGCATGGCAACGAAAAATAACAACGCATATCACTCCTGCTCTCGCTACGTCTATTTTTCGTTGCCATGCGATCCTCGTTGTTATCACATTTAGAGTGTACAGCCCACGATCTAGCTACGCGCAACGCGCGATTATTCGTCAATCCCTTTTAATTAATATCTCAATTACTATTGCAAAAATTGCAAAACAGTGAAGGACTTTTCTATTCAGTTTACCGCACTTTATTCGCACACGAGCGTTGGCACGGACATTATGAAACACCCTGTATATTAGATAAACATTTATAAAACAAACAAACGTTTCAACCTGCTATCAAGTTTTCTTCAATTACATCAATATACATTACAAATTTTTAAAACCGCATTCGAACCAATTTACAATTTTTATCATTGCTAGATTATTACATTTGAGATGTTAATTGTCGTACGTAATTTTTTTATATATAAGCCGCATACTGATTTGAGATGTAGTTGACAGGAAACAATTTTGATATTTTAAAGCTCGTGAGTCATTCTCATGATTAATACTAAAATACGATGGCATTGAATTTAATGACTTAAATAAATAAAATAGAAGACCTCTACGATTACTTCAAATACAAAAATAAAATAAACTAAATAAAGTACATACATTTTTTGGAAATACTCGTTGATTCGCAAAGAGAGAAAGATAAGCCTTTTGAAGAAGTCGGAGATGCAGAGTCCATGTTTAAAATAATGAAACTTTTTTATTATGTCTGCGCTTAAAATACACAAGTGATCGTATGACGAGCGATAGCGAAATTTAATCCGGAGTGCTAAGATAAGATAAAAGAAGGGGAAGTCTGGATGTAAAGGAGAAGAAAAAATGGAAAAGAGAGGAACTGTCATACAGGAGGAAGATAGATTTAAGGCAGGAAGGTATTCATTAGGTAACTTCGCGTTATTTTGTAGATTTAATCTTCCTTTTTGTGTCTTAATATAAAGCATTTCTGAAATTAGCCTCTTACTATATGATTGTTCCTCATCTAGTATTTGAATATTATCCCAATCTTCATGCGAAGAATCTAATCTATGTAGTAAAATGACTCAAACGGTTTATTAAAACAGGTAGAGATCAATTGGATGCACTTTCTCATTGCGGAATAGTATATAAGATTTCATGTCGCGATTGTGAGGCTACCTATGTGGGCCAAACAAAGAGAAAACTTATTACTAGGATTAAGGAACATAGATCTGACATAAATAAAAATAAGCGGATCTCCTTCTGTCATTTCACTACACAGATTTAGATTCTTCGCATGAAGTCGATTGGGATAATATTCAAATACTAGATGAGGAACAATTTTATTTCAAAAATGCTTTATATTAAAAACAAAAAGAAAGGGTTAAATCTACAAAATGACGCGGAGTCGTTACCTAATAAATACCTTCCTGTCTTAAATCCATTTTCTCCCGTATGACAGTTCCTCTCTTTTCCATTTTTCCCTCTCCTTTACATCCACACTTCCCCTTCCCTTACTTCATTTTAACGTTCTGGATTGAATTTCGCTCGTCATACGGTCAGTTGCATTTTAACCGCAGACACAACAAAAAAGTTTCATTATTTTAAACATGGACTCTGTATTTCCGACTTCTTCAAAAGGCTTATCTTTCTCTCTTTGCGAATCAACGAGCATTTCCAAAAAATGTATGTACTATATTTAGTTTATTTTATTTTTGTATTTGAAGTAATCGTGGAGGTCTTCTATTTTATTTATTTAAGTCATTAAATTCAACTCCATTGTATTTTAATCATACAGTCAGTTGCATTTTAACACACCGTTGTGTGTTAACTATGAGAGTGACTCGCGAGCTTTAAGATATCAAAATTGTTTCCTGTCAACTACATCTTAAATCAGTATGCGACTTAAATAAAAAAATTGCGTGCGACAATTAACATCTCAAATGTAATAATCCTAGTGATGATAAAAATTGTAAATTGGTTCAAATGCAGTTTTAAAAATTTGTAATGTATGACTTATATTGATGGTAACGTTGAAAAAAACCTGATAACAGATTGAAGTGTTGGTTTGTTTTATAAATGTTTATCTAATATATACGCACGACCACCCAGCATTGGCTTTTGGCTATTTACTTAATTTTGTGATTTTTATACATTGAGACCTTTGATTGGACCTCGATAATTTTGTCTTAATTTTTAATTTAACGAGTTCTTTTTTTTAAGATACTTTGGCGAACTTGGTAGAGGTGACTTGCGTTATTAATCCATCACTTTTCTATGTTCAAAAAGTGGCGTCAAAATCGGAATTTATGAAATTGGAAACAGATTTGATAAAGTACGGAAAAGAAAGCGTAGAATCGCCGATCACTATCGAAAAGGGTAAAAACAAGTTAATCACTCTCAACATTATTCGTGCACATATTCACCAAATTTGTATTGTAGACGACATGTGCATCGTCAAGAAAGAAAAAAAGAAAGAGATAAAATGGCGTCGAGGACGCGTGACTTCGACGTTGAAGATTGACAATGAAACAAAGTACTGTGTATTTTATATTGATTACGGCTACGAGGAACGCAATATACCATCTTCGCACGTACGAGGCATCGCTGAACATTTGCGGGAATCACCACCGTACGCGATTAAATGCTGTTTACACGGTATAGTGTCCAAAAATAATCGTTGGACGAATAAAAGCATTAATGATTTTTTGAAGCTGACGAGAGAATCGTAAGTAATTAACTGATCTTATGAATATCATTCTTATCGTATTTGAGAGAAACTTAACTATCTCATCTACTTATGTTCATAAACATTTTATGTTTCAGTACGGTTACTATGTTTGTAATTGAGTCTACTCCTGACATGCTGTATGTAGATCTTTGTGTTTCTTCAAAGGATAATAAAATGGGTCCGCAATCGATGTGTAACACAATGAAAGTCATGGATTACGCACGTTTGGACAATTCGCAAACGGTATGCAAACTGTTATTAAAATTATATACGTTTTGCGTGTGTCGTTCAATTATAATATTTTTTTCTGTATTTAAATTGTATGGGAATCCTTTAATTCAGATTTTTACGATCATTATAAGATATAAAGATTTTTACTTTATATTTTTTTTCAAAGGTTTTTTTACTTCAATAATTTTGTTCTGTCACATTTTTATTTTTTACTTAATCACAATTACATATATACTAAGCCTCATTAAAGCCTTTCATCGCCAAACTTGATATGTTTCGATTGATCACATCACGTCTAAATATTTTAATCAAATTATTTTATTAAATTAAATATAAGGAAATGTAAATTTTAAATTTTATTTTAATTAGTCGTATTTTTTTATATTACATTTTATATTTTTTAAATATTAAATTGCGCGCTACGCGCGCGCAGTTTATCATGTTCTATTAATTAAAAAATAAATTCTATTTTTGTTAATTTAATGTTGTATAATCCGTTGTTGAATTTTGAATCTTGTATCTCAGATAGATGTGTAAGACTATCAAGAATCTATTATGAGCCATGATGCAGGAATGTTTGAAAGTATTTAATCAGAAAATAACATAACAATAAACACTAATGTCTAGTATTTATACCAAAGAGATATTGCTATCACTTGTTTTACGTATCTTCTAACCTTATCCTTGAAAAGATTTCACCTTTGAATATCATGTGCACTAAAAAGGGCCATGTTTGTAACCGAAATGTATGCCAACTCCAAATATAAATATTAGCACGATTATCTAGTATTGATCTAAGCCCTTTATCATTGTAGAGTTCGATTTTGTAATACATGAAATAATCTAATTTAATCTATTCGCAATGTATGTTAGCAATATAATTAATCATATATTTCTTGTCTTAGATATTGAACACCACTTTTATGTACACCAAAGAAGAACTTCCGTTAAATAAGGGAACATCGGTTGCTATTAGCTGGATTGAATCACCAGATGAAATTTATGTCACGAAGGTAAAGCGATTACAATTATATATTATCACAAAATTTTTCATATTACTATGATCTCTTCAGAAAGAAAAACATTTTATAAAATGGATTATTTTTTTATTATTTTATTTTTATAAATCTCTTCCTCCCCTCCCCTCCTTTCTCTCTCTCTCTCTCTCTCTCTCTCTCTCTCTCTCTCTCTCTCTCCCTCTCCCTTTCTCTCTTTCTCTCTTTCTCTCTGTTTGTGTACAGTTAGGACAACGGAAAGATAAGTTATCAAAAGTTATCGGCCAGTTAAAGGAGCATTATGAAAAAGACACTTCAACGAAAACGATTGATACCCTTCAGAAAGGTTGGTTACCAAATTACAAATATATATTGACGAAATAGATATGATATTTGCGTATGTAGCCGATCTACAATGCAAATATTTTTTTAATAATATATAGGCATTGCTATGGTCGCAATGTTTATTAATACTTATTGTATTATAAAAGAAACTTTGAAAAAAAAGGTACTTTAAATAATGTGTCCAAACTTCTATTTGATGATCAAAATTGGAAAAAGTTTTATTAAATATTAAAAAAATATGTTAAATATTGAATATTAGAAAAAAAGGTTATTAAAAATCTAGAATAAAAATATTTAATAATTTGTTTTCTACTGTTATAAATGTCATATCTAATGTAAATCCTCTACTAAAATATTTTACTTGGAAAAGTTTCAGTCTGAAAAATTACATTTATAGGTTTACCATGTGCTGTGCAATTAGAAGATGGTACTTGGCAACGTGGTGAAATCATTAATGTAATTAGTGCAGATACAGTTCAAGTGTTTTGTGTGGACTGGGGCTGTAATTTGATTTTAAATCGTGATTGCTTAAGAGAAATTCCACATAAATACACTATGTATAACGCACAAGTAAGTCGATCATGTTTCAATGTAAGAACAGGTCGAAAAAGAGCCTCGAAATGATAGCAAATTGTAGAGATGACTATAAATTTGTCGTTTTATTTTTTTAATTTAGGCCATCAGAATGTCATTAATGTATATATATCCTGAAGTCGATGGAAGCTGGAAATCAAACGCTTTCTCAATGTTGAAGAGTATCTTCTCCCGTGCAAAACATGTTTCAGCGTTTCCTCAAGCAAAAGTAGAGAATATATATAAAGGTTTAATTTTCTGCGATAATTCAGATATAAGTCGGTTATTAAAAAGTGCAGGTGTCGTCAATAGAAATGCAGTGTAAGTGTTTTATGCAAAACTTTTTATGTAAAGACTTTATGTTCGAAAGGCTTAACTTATCAAAATTATTATTCTCCCTCTTCTAAAACAGGAAATTTCCAAAAAGAAAACAACGTCTCCAATTGTCTCTTGACCATACTCTTCCGTCATTGAAGAATGTGAATAGTATCGTCAAAGACGATTCATCGAACAATACGACGAATGCGGACAAACCCGTTGAAAAGAATGAAATAACTAAGGATCCTTTCAAAATGGAAGTGCGTGTACAACAGGTGATCACACCGGACTGCATCTACGTTGCGCAAACGGAGCGCGAGAAATCCAACGGAGAAATGATGTCGGCGATGCAAAAATTCTACAATTCCTATTGCTCCGAATTGCGAGATAATTGGAGCGAGGGTGCGCTATGCGTTGTATACTCCGCAAAAGATAAATCTTATTTCCGTGCGAAAATTTTAAAAATAAAATCCCTGAAGGAGGTGCTGGTGTTTTTCTACGACATGGGCATTGAAGAGACAGTAATGTTAAAGGACATACAGATTTTGCATCAGCAATTCGCAAAGGAAGCGGCGTATTGCTTTAAAATCAAACTGGCTGGCATCTGGCCGTGCGGCGGATCATACACGTGGCCATCTCTGTCTTGCATAACGCTGTCTGATATTATACGAGAAAATGCGTTCTGCAAATTTTACATCACTAAACCCGTGAGTGTTTGTCCTTTTTATGAATATTTGCGTCAACTTATGCATTCGATAAATTGTGATTGATACCTTAACGATTATCTGACATTGATGGATAATAATTATTTTAATTTGACTTGTATAATAATATACATATGTTATATAATAATCTTTACGATATAAGTCTTAATTAATATTTAAATGTTGACAATAATACTCTCTTAACGATATTTTTAAAATTACAATAAAATAATCACGTAGTCAATTTTAATAATCTTAAATTATGTAATGAAATGTGAAGTATTTCCATGCAAAAGTTTTGAGATATTTGAAAATTTTCTGGATCAGAAATGCTATTAATTACAATAATCGAATGCAAAAAAAATGCAATAAAGATCACGAAAATCTAAAGATGTAAATGTTTTTATATTTGTATATTTGTTAGGTTCAAGAAGAAGTTGGCGATGATGTAGTACCTGTCGAACTTTGGGTAAAGCAGACTAAAATACCAGGACCGTTAGCTCCATCTCAAATAGAGATTAATTCTATCAACAGAATGTTGGTGGATAAGGGAGTTGCGTTACCTATTAAAAAGTATGTTAAAAATCACAATTCATTATTTAATTTTATTTTTACGAAACAAAAAGTTTCCATGTAATTTTGAATCATGATTTTTAATTCAACAGCTATTTTGCAAAAGCAGATGTAACGCTTGCTACAGAATTTAAACGACAATTAGAGTCTAATCATCAGTCTATGCTAATTGAAGAAAAAGAGGAAGAAGAAGTGAAATGGCTTAACAAAGTTAGCACTGATTGCAAGGAAATAAATGACACGATACTGTCACTTGATTCATCAAGCCGCATCTCTAGCGTTGATACCTTTAATGATTTAATCAACAAATATCAGGTTTGCGATAAGACAAATCAAGATTGTGCAACGGAGATATCCCAGTGGCTACCGCCGTCTGAAATAACGGAGGAAGTATTCCACGCCATACCGACATACGTGGATAACAACTGCGCTGTGTACTTGCATCCTAAAAAAAGTAGTATGTTGCCTTGGCTTAAATATGATCGAGTCTTTATACAACTTACTTCTGTATTTTTCTTAAATTTGTCACTCCTCTACTTATCATATTAATTTCTTTTCTATTTACATAATCCTCTAACAATAAGTAGAAGTGATAGAAATAGTATACTTAAGAGAAATACAAAAATCTTACGAATAATCAATTTTTCGATAATCTACGTAATTTCGATAATCTTCGATAATTTATATTTATATTATCATATAGATTGTTACGATATAATATTTAAAGAATGATACTATTTAGATTTTATCTCTTATTACATGTTTGTTTCGCTGTAGGTGCTGACGTAATTAATTATATCGAATCTGAGTTGCAAGTTTGTTACAAAAAAGCAAAGCGGCATATAAAGAAAGACAAGAAATGGAAAGAGGGAGATTTGTGTATTGCTCAATATCATCATGATATGAAATGGTACAGAGGTAGAATTGTTCGAATTTTAGGTAATATACTGAAGGTAAATAATAATTGTCTTCTTATTATTTATAATTATCATCTTCACAGTATCATTTTAATCATCATGTGTTTTGTATCTAGGTGGAATTTGTTGATTATGGCAATGTGGAAGAATGCGAAATAGAACATGTGACGGATTACATCAGATTGAATTACATTCCTATTCAATGCACAAAATGCGTCATCAGTGGCTTGGGACCGGTAATCTTATCTTCATTGAATCATATTTTGGGCGATGCTAATTTATAATGATTTTGTTATTGATATTTGCGTTTGTAATGATTTTATAAATCTCTCTTCTTTTGTACGTACAACAGGCGACTGAGAGTGGTAAATGGCTTTTGCACGATTTAGATCGAATACATGCGCTACTTGTTGATAAAGTATGCAAAGTGTCCGTTTTAGAGCGACTACCTACGCACTTGATCGTAAGTTATATCCATGCGAGAGAGCAATTTATGATTATAAACTTTAGTCTGTGAAATTTCTTATGAAAATTATCGTTGTAAATTTTTTGCACTCGCGCAATAGCGATATCCTTGGTATTTGCAGGTATCAATAACATTGTTACAACCATGGAAATGCGACCTCCTATTGTACTTGGCAAATCATATGGACATGAATATCAAGATTGAACGTAAGGATTGGAACGATGTAAGCAAAGATGGAACTTTGGACGCTATTCAGGACATTGATATCGAAGAGGTGGAGAAAATCCCTTCAGAGAGAACTTTCGAAATACTTCCCCAAGATGCTACGTTTAATGAGCATGTGATCAGTGGCAATTTAGCGGAGTCATCTAAATACAATAATGATAAATTATCTAAATACAATAATGATAAAGAGATATCCGATATTGAAAGTATGTCAGATATCTCGTTAGAGGCGCTTTTTTTGGACGACCAACTTAAATGCTCAACGCCGCAACAAGAATTGGAGGAGTTTTTTGGCGTATATAAACAGTTGACCATTCCGCAAGAGACGAAATATATCGAATTAATATTATGTTGTAACGACAATCCTATTACCTCATTCGCACAATTGGCAGAAAACAAGGACGCTATATTCCCTAATGTGAGCATACGCGAATGTATTTTTAAATTAATATATGTGAAGCATCAGTCTCTTGAATTTGTATTCTTTCAGATATTTCATGAGTATTATCTGCAGTATAAATCCATGATGTCTGATTTGCAAAGCGATGCTTGTCATCAACCGTTAATCGAGTCTTTTGAAAAAAGTAAGTTGTAATCTTTGATAAAATAAATAATTACACATACAAAAGATGGCATTAATATACAAAAATATCAGCAAACGCTCAGCAAAATTGTTAATAACACATGTTTATTAATTTTTTTTTTCAGATACTCCATGCATAACAAAGTTTTCTGACAACATGTGGTATAGGTGCATCATCACAGATAGTGAAAAAATTCCAGACACTCAATGTATACGGATTTTATTAGTTTTTGTTGATTATGGCAATAATGAATGCAGAGATGTAGATGTATTCTCCAAGTGAGCAAAATATTAAGATCTTTTGATAAACTACTAGTAGAATCATGAGCCATTTATAACGTTTCATAAAATGTGTTTCAGGAACCACGATTTACGTGTACCGAAACAAGAATGGCTGGAATTACCTGCCATGGCTATTAAATGCACATTTTGGGGACTAAACTTCATCGCTAATGACATAAAATTATTAGCATCAAAATTAAATCAAATATTCAATCAGCCAGTTGTGGCTCGAATTAAGGTAAATCTTTTTAGAATACATTTATTTAAAGTTTATATAAAAATTCTAAAATTTATATGAATTATCGTAGGAAATTAACAATGAAACTGATTTGGTGGTGGACATGTTCAAGGACAAAACATGTAAAGAACTACTTTACGCTCACTTGATAAAAGAAGGTTTATATCAATTTAAAAAATCTAAAGAAGATTGAAAAACAGCTTTCCGATGATAAATCTTTAATATTAATGAATTATTAATGAATTATTAATGAATAAATAATAAGTCAATTAAAAAATAAGGAAGTTGACCAAAGAATGTTTCTTTTTGATGTATAAATAGGTATAAATTTAGTTACTGTTTAAAAAATAAAAACAAATATTATATTTAGTAAAAATGTATTGATTGTATATCACACATTTTGGATTGTTGAGACATTCGAATTTAAGTTGACTTATATTAGCGTTGAGTACTCTTTGCGATTTGTTCCTTTAGCACTAAAATACTTTGCCTCTGCTCAGGTGGAAGCATTGCAATTTGCTCATCTGATAATTGCAACACTTGCATTATTAAAGCCGCCTGTGAACAAAACAAAATAATGATATACAATTTACTTAAAATAATATTTTATCTGCTTATCAGTATTATAGAATTCAATTAAATTACTATTACGCATTGCACTCAGTCAAATTCATTATAACTTTTCACAACTCTTCAAGTTTTTATTATGTTTTATTTTGTCAAAAGACGGATGATTTGTAGTCATTATTACATACTATTATTACTAACATAGGTTTTGTATTGAATTTTTGTACTCTTTTTATATCTTATTGTTCGCAAGAGAATGATTAAAAATAAAAATATATTTTGTGAAATAAACATGCTAGAAATATTTTAATGTAACATACCTTTTCCTGGTCAGATGCGCCGCTAGGAATATTTCCCGCCGGAGACATTCCGGCCATAAGTCTTGAGGTCGCGGAACTTGCCGATTGCGAAAGCGCAGCGGTAGAGCTAGTTGCGTTACTAGTTACGGCGCTTGGTACTGGCACTGTTGGTGCAGCAACTGGTCTTGGTACAATTGGCGGTGCAACAGGAACCGCTAATGGCGAATGACCAAATTTCATCATAAGATTAGAAAATAAAGGACCATTAACGTTCAGAGATATCATTAGTTCATTAAGATATCTAATTCTTGCAAAAAACTAGATATTTTTTTTATGAACAATTGATTTATGTCAAATGCATATATGCAATATAAAAACATACGATTAGCTTTGGTAATCCTAGGATCAATGGGCATTCTTGGATCTCTCGGGTCTCTTGGATCTCTACCAAATCTATCAGCCCTCGGATCACGACAAAAGCTGAAAATAATATTTATTTAGTACAAGAATAAAAAGCGATTAAAGCTTATTTGAGAGAGAGAGAGATATATATATATGAGACCTCTCGACTCCTTCCACAGGAAGAGTGCTGTAAAAAAGAGCAATATTTTCAATTACGCAATTTACAATCAATCTTTTAACGATGCAAAATGCACTTACTTGTCTGTAATATTAAATGTATTGGACCCTCTCGGATCAGTGGTAGCTGGTATCACTGGTGCGGCAACTGACGTGGGTTGCGTTTGAGGGGGTCCTCTCAAATCCTGATCCATCCTTGCTAAACGTGGATCTATTTGCCTATCCAATCGAAGATCTACATCTTGACCTGTTTGCATTGAATTTTAGATATTTCTTGTCCCTTCTAATACAATGGTTGTGAGTTCATGTGATATATACAGTAAAGCAAATAATAAATCAAACAAAAATAAGTTAATTTATTAATGATTTACTTCTGAATGCATGTGTGAATAAATTGTATGAAATTTTGATAAATTCTTTGAAGTTTTAATTTAATTTTAATAATTAAAATAACAATTAACGTAAAAACGAGATTATTTCTTTCTCGTACTTGCGAAAATGGGCGCTGGAGCATTAACAGCCGGTGCAGGCCGCGGAGGAGCCCATGGTTCCTCGATTCGTGGTTGGACTTGCTGAATTGGTTTCTCTGATGATGTCAATACATTCGGGATAGGATTAGCTTTGTGTAACATACTGACTGCTGTATGAGGATCTACTATTCTCATAACCACTTGTGCTTGAAGCAATGCATAAGCCAACTGAGGATTTTGCAGAAGCATTTGACGTGCTTCATTTGGATTATTTTGTACACAAAGCTTCATTTGCTTCATTAACTCAAACATTTGCTCTGGCGGTAGAGATGCTACAGCTTTGCTTATTGCTTCTGGCGCTTTATCCGATTGAACAGCCTCCCCATATGGATTCTCAGTGTTTTGTCCTTGTAGGAGACTCTGCATCTCCATTCGACTTTTTTCTGTGCACGCATTGTCCACGCGCAATGTTCTTCCACCAATTTCATATCCATTTAAGTTTCTCATTGCACTTAAGGCTGTTTCCTGATCTTTGTATTCACAGAACCCATATCCTTTAGGTTTGCCTGTCTCGCGATCAAATACCAATCTGTTTAAAACATTTGGAGAATTGCATATGTGAAAATTCAAAGGTTATGGATTTTAATTTGACTTAGAAATTCAACCAACAAAAAATATAGACTTACTTGAAGGAAAGCACTGGTCCAACTTCACTGAAAATATCCTTCAGATTCTCCTCTGTAGCCTCGTACGGGATATTCCCGACTAAAAGGACAATCGAAAGCATCATCATTACAACGCTGGTAGTAAAATATAATGTCACAACTTGTATGCTAAATTACTCACCAAAAACACTTCGCATGGACTTGTCCATTAGCGATTGATCCGAAATAGTTGAATTACTCATTTTCGTACTTTTGTTTTTCTCGGCAACACGAAAGCACTCAGTAAAATTTTAATAACAATATATGCGAAACTCTCTATCAGCGGCAGAGATGTACCTAACTGTACCTAACGTAACCTGAGATAATTATTCCACAATATTTCGTTTCTTGCGTGTATATTTTTAAAAAAATGTATAACTTATAATGTATATCTTCATTAATATTATGACTAAAATAAAAAATTAAATATCTATAAATTATAAGTGATTTAAAAATATTTATAACCAACTTTAACCGTATCGATAATACAATCGCGACTTGCGGCATATTGAGTGTGGAGTGTCATTCTAATGATGTGTTATTCCAGCAATATTTTAAGTTATAATTGTAAACACAATTGCGATTGAATAAAATGAGTGCCTTAAAAGTTCTCACGTATCCAAATAAACTGTTAAAACTCATTCTTTGGAACAGGTATATTTAGTCTTTTTAATATTTTGTATTATAACCACAACAAGCAATTTTATTTCTTCATTCTTATGTAAATTTAATCTATATTTATTCTTTATACTTGAGCCTTATTTATCTTGATTGACCTTATTTTTATTAGTTATACAAGTTATTGAAAAAAGTGTCTGTTACAAATAAGAATTGATATAATCTTTGTCTTTTTTTTACAGAATGATACAATATACCAATAGAATAGCTAGACCAATGTCAACAATAGATCACAAACAGATTGAACATCATTCTAGTTTTAAAAATGACTGGTGGGATTTGAATGGCAAGATGAGCGGTCTTCATATATTTGCACCATTGAGAGTACAGTTTATAAGAAAAGGTTTGGCTAATACTGGACTTAAAACAAAAAGTCTAACTCTTCCATTGGAAGGAGTAAAGATTGCAGATATTGGCTGTGGTGGAGGTATATTGACTGAACGTTTGGCTAGAATAGGAGCACAAGTAACTGGAATTGACCCATCAGTAGAATTGATAGATATTGCTAAGCAGCATGTACAATTGGATTCTGATATATCAGATAGAGTGAATTACATTCAAACAACTATAGAAGAGTTTTCCGAAAAAAATGAGGAATTATATGATGTTGTTGTGGCTTCTGAGGTCTTAGAGCATCTAGTAAATCCGGAATTATTTTTAAAGGTATTATATTATAAGAAAAGTTATAATAATTAAATATAAACGCTAAACAAATTGCTCTATAACTATTCTGTACAGGAATCTGTGAAAATTTTAAAACCTGGAGGATCAATTTTTATAACAACAATAAATAAAACTCCAGCATCTTGGTTCGGTGGTATTATAGTAGCTGAATATATTATTAATATTGTACCTCGTGGTACTCATACATGGGATAAATTTATTGCTCCACATGAAGTACAACGTATATTAGAGAAATGTAAGTTTTATGTATGTCAGTTAAAAAAATTACATTTTGCATTTTGCATAAAAATTATTTGAATAAATAAGTTTATAAAAATTGCTATGTGAATGTTCTTATATTCTATAAAAATTTTGATTTAATCTTTTCTTTTTATAGATGGATGCAAAACAAAATTAATTCATGGAGCAATGATTAATCTACTTACAAATCGATGGTCTTGGACATCATGTACAGCAATTAATTATGCACTTCATGCAATTAAACAAAAAAAGACTGATACTCAACAGTAATTCTTGGAAAATGTAATTTTTGTTGTTGTAAATAAGTTGTATCAATAGTGTTTTCTCGATTTATTGATAATCTTTATTGAGATTAAATGTATCATAATTGCATACTAATATATATGCGTGCTAGAATATTATTTGTATAAAAGAGAAATCCATTTTCTATAATAAACATTGCTGTGTAACAGAGTAGATAGAGACGTACTACTTTTGGGTAATTTTTAATATAAATTAATATAAATAAGAAATATTAATATAAAAATTAATATTACGAAATAAATAGGAATATAAGTATTAAATATTAGAAGTAGGAAATTGATATTATTTCATTTCAAAAGAAGAAAATGGAATGGATTAACGTATCATGAATTAAGAAATAAAAAATAATTCATCCATTCCATTCCCTTGTTTAAAGTAAAATAATTCCAAATTGCTCTTTCTAATATTTATTCTTACTCCTAATATTTTCTCTATTGTGCCTAAAGATGCTCCATATATATTTTCATATATATGCGATTGAGGCATATGGCCGGAGCACAGACTTTTGCATAAAGCATAACGCATAAACATAAGGAAATTGATTGGTCCATTTCCTTATGCATTTGCTTATGCTTATATATAGACCAATCAATTTCCTTATGCTTATGCGTTATGCTTTATGTAAAAGCTTGTGCTCTCGGCTTAAGGATCATTTTACAATGCTTCGCAAATGTCCCATGGCTGGTTTATGCTTCGGTCTTAATCTTAAGCCGAGAGCACAAGCTTTTACATAAA